CTTCATTTCTGGTGATACTCATGACCGAGGCTTCTACCATTTTAGTCTTCCACGCTCAGTTTCCTTGCGAGTCCATGTATGAGTCCCGGTGGATTATAACGGTTAACGGCGGAGGCTGGAGATGGTGAGCGATCGCAGTCGTTTGGTTAAGAATACAAGCGGTTGATGGCTAAGTTTGTCTATGTGCAGCTCGGAGTCTGGGTGTCTTGATGATCTTAAATCGTGGCTTTGAAACTCATGTAGTTCTTGAGTATAATCTGGTGATTCTTGACCTGTAAGGGGAAAAGGGCGAGAGGGACAGATATCAGTGGATAATAGGAATTGGGTTTAGTGTTATCATAAGCTTAGTATGGGCTAAGGGTGATTTCGATAGAGACAGGGATTGGGTGTTTCCATATTCGAATTTGGGTTTGTGACAGTCTCAAATGAGATGAACTGACTTAAAATCTTGGCTGATAACATGGAGACGAAGCAGTCTCATTGAGGTTGCCTGCAAGACGAAGCATGTAAATTTCCCTTTTGAGGTTTCATCGCAGAACTTTAATTCGATACTGAAGACAATCTGAAGAAGTACACAATGTACTTGCTGGTGGTCGGTGGATGTGGAATCGAGACAATTGTCACTTGTCTATGGTAGTAGTAGGTCTTTCTCCAACATCCACAATTGCTAACCGCATTGGAGGATGGAGGCAAGTTTAGTTGCTCAATGTTCCATTATGAAAAGAGTTACAGCAAGGCTGAAGACTTCGGCTGCGTTTGGTACAGCATTGGGAAGGGGCTTTCAGCCCCGAAAGCCCCTTCCCAAAAATGCTGAACCAAACGGTTAGCATTGAGCATTGAAAATGCTCAAAACTAGCATTTTCAATGCTGAAAGCCCAATGCTGATCAGGATTAGCTTTGGACTTTCAGCCTTGAACCAAATGCCAAAATCATTTTTATACTACCCAAACTACCCTCACTCAAATTTCAATATTCCGGCTTTGCCCTCTTGTTACTGTTCATCTTCTTCACCAAAGGGACTCCGGCGAGGGCAAAGGGCCGGCGACGGCGAAGGTCCGGCGAGGTCGCCCGACCCAAGCGACGGCCGCCCGGGGTCAGGCGATCGCCCAGGCACGGCCGCTCGGGGTCGGGCGACCGCCCAGTGCGGCCGCACAGGTCCGCGACCTCGAGGCGGCCGTCGCTGGGGTCGCGACCCAGGCGGCCGTCGGCCTGGGGTCGCGACCCAGGCGGCCGTCGGCTGGGGTCGCGCGACCCGAGGCGGCCGTCGGCTGGGAGTCGCGCGACCCAGGCGGCCGCTCGCTGGGTCGCGCGACCTCGGCGGCCGTCGCTGGGGTCGCGCGACCCAGCGGCCGCCGTCGGCTCGGGGTCGCGCGACCCGAGCGGCCGTCGGCCTGGGTCGCGCGACCCAGGGCGGCCGTCGGCTGAGTCGCGCGACCTCGGGCCTCGTTGCCCGAGGTCGGCGTCCCTCGCCGGGGTCGCTCGGCGACGGGCGACGGCCGCCGGCGCCAGATCTGGCTCGCCGGCGGCGTGAGCCCTTCGCCGGAGCCGTAGCCCATCGCCGGAGCCGGCGAAGGGTATTTTTGCCTTTTTTTAAAAAAAAACCCCCCCAAAGCCCATTTGTAAAAAAAATTAACCAAACACCACTTGGGTCAAAATAGCTTTGCAAATGAGTTTTTACCAAACGCCATTTGCATTTTTCCTAAAGGGCTTCCACCCAAAGGCATTTGCATTCCCAAAGTAGCATTCCAAATGCTGTACCAAACGCACCCTTCGTCTCAGTGACGAAAGCCAGGGGCAACAATACTCATCTGACTTGCATTGACATTTTGAAATAAGCATTGGCAACATCACCATCGAAAGGCTTTCTACCAAAAAAGAAAAAAAAGGAAGAAAATTGACAATTATTAAAATATTATTGAAAATATCCACGTCAGTGTCAGCCGTACCACGTAAGACGGTTGGCCTCCATGTCAGCAAAATTAGTAGGAAGTACTGAATTGGCTCTAGGTCAAAAAGTTTAGGATATAATTGACACAATTAAAAGGTTTAGAACTAAATTGACACCAACGCAATAAGTTTATAACTTTTCTAATACTTTTCTATGTGTAATGTAATCCTTAATGACTCTCAAATTGTGCATAAGAGGAAATTAAATCTAGTCTAAATAATGGAAAGTGTAATTTTACCCTAAACGCAAATACAATCCTAGATCTATGTGATATTTTGTGAATATGCAATCCAAGAGTATTGACATCCAAGATATGGTCTCTTTTATTGTTTCTCTTTATGGCATAAAAAAACGAAATAAATATATACAAAAACATTCATCCATGAGAATCCTAATTTTCCTAACATGGCAATTATTAAGTTGCAAATGAAATATGAAAAAGATATTTTAATATGCAAAATAATCTACATGCTTAAAGTTGCAAACGTGAGCACAATCAGACATGCAAATATGAATTTTTCTAACCATGCAGATATTCAAGACGCAATTTCCTTTATTGCAGACTTCCAGATTAATCTAAAGATGTGATTTATTAATCATGCCCTAACTATGAATTTAAAATGTATATCTATAGATTCGGGAAAAGTGACAAAAAAGTTATAAACCTATTGCATTGGTGTTAATTCCGTCCTAAACCTTTTTTTTGTGACAATTCAATCCTAAATCTTTTTAATATAGTGCAAATTCAGTCATTCCGGCTAATTTTGGCAAGATATTACTGACGTAGATGTCGGTCGGCTTACGTGACATTGCCGCCAGTGCTAACGTGGACAACTTTTAATAATATTTTAATATTTTTCGAATTATTTATTTATTATTTTAAATTTTTTCTTTTCTTTCTTTTTCCTTTTGTTTCCTTCCATTTCTTCTTCCTCTAGCCAGCGAGGTCCGACCTCGCCAGATCTGGCAAGGTTGGACCTCCCCTATGGCCGGCATGGCCCAACCCTCGCTAGCCCAGTGCGAGGCCCCCCTTGTGGCCATCCAGCGAGGGCTTGAGCCTCGCCAGCCCAGTACAAGGTCGCCCTAGTGGCCATCCGATGAGGCACAACCTCGTTGGATCTGGCGAGATCGAACCTCCCCCATGGCCAGCGAGGCTCGATCCTCGCTAGCCCAGCGCGAGGCCGCCCTCGTCGCCTCTTGCGAGGTCGAGCCTCGCCCAGCCATGGCGAGGGCGTGCCTTGCCTGCGGCCGACGAGGTCGACCTCGCCAACCTTGGCCTCTAGCCCATCACTGAGGTTTGGCGATCGGCTGGAGGAAGAAAAAAGGAAAGGAAAAAAAATGAAAAGAAAAAAATTTTAAAAATAAATAAAAATTCGGAAAATATTAAAATATTATTTAAAATTATCCACGTCAGTGCCAGCGGTGCCACGTAGGCCAGCCGCAAATTAGTCTGAAGGACTGAATTAACACAAAGATAAAAATGTTTAGAATTGAATTAGCACAAAAAAATGTTTAGAACTAAATTGGCACAAATATAATAGGTTTAGGATTTTTTTAACACTTTTCCCCTATAGATTCCGCTTGCAACTTCTGAAATTGCTATGTATCTCACTCGAGACATGTCAAAATTGAAGAACCCTAATTGGTTTGAGAGAGCGCCAGAGAGAGTGCGCTAAGGATTCTTTGAGCAAAACGCATATTTTTGAAATTTTGTCCCCAACGATTTTTAATCTTAGTTTTCCTTTAATCTAAAATAAAATAACCTTTCCACTCAGTTATGTCATGTCAGATGCTACAATGCTTACATAATTATTGCAAAATTATTTTAGAGTCCACAGTAACCATTTACTAGGCCGGTTAAGAACTCGATAGAAGTGCGAGAGATCGCTTTAGCTTTGCGAAGGGACTTGGTTGCCTAGAATAAACTAACACCAATGGATTGGTATTTTTTTTTCTCTTTTAAGGAAAATTCCACATACAATCTTGAGCGACTTTTATTTCCTAACATGCATCTACATGTTCATGCATTTATGGTAATGACTCAAACATTTAAAAAGTTACCAAGTACAAACAAAGTATGAAAAACGGTGAGCAGATTAAAAAGTTAAAAAGGCAGAAGATAATAACTGAATCGTCTCGGGCAACAAATAAAAAGAGCTTGTTATAATGCCCCAGGACGGGATTCATGTGAGCTGTAAATGGAAAGTCCATGCGAGTTCTAAACTAGACTAATGTATCAAAGGAAATATAAATATGCAGATGTAACATGCTATGCAAAAGCACATCGTAAGTATATTACAAATCTCAATATGAGCTTCTAAACATAAAAAAAATCTGACTGGTTCAGGAGAGCACGCTAGAGATTCCTTGAGCAAAACAAGATGGCACCCTTTTGCTTTGAGAAAAGTGCATATTACTGAATTTAAACGGTTATGTCACGTCAGATGCCACAATGGATGTTAACATGCTGACAAACGGCTACTTAATGGAACGGGTGTGTCAGATTTGGGTCGGTCGAGAATGGTCACACCTAAATTGACCCATTTTGAGCCATTTCTATATAATACAAATATAGTGAGCCATTCCCGATCCGATCTATATTACTAAAATATTTCCACATTTAACTCAATTTATGAAAATTCATACCCAAACTGAGGTGAGAGCGTAGAACAAACGAACGCGAGATCGAGTGAGGGCGTGAGTGAGAGTGAATAGAGAGTTATATAGGTGAATTGAGTTTAAGTAAGTCGTGAATCTATTTAACGCCTATATTATTTTGAGTTTTATCATTCTAACCCATTTACTAAATTACAACTAACACATATAATAACTTAGCTTATCAAATATGGGTTATGTTATGACCCATTTTGATAGGTCTACCTAACGGCAAAAATGTCCGTACGTGTTTGTGTGCGTAACAATGCTTCGGCCCATCATCATTCATGCAAAGCCACGAAAATGGGCCCAATAAGTGGGGGCCCAATAGCAGTTGAGCCGGAAGAGGCCCAAGCCGTGGCGATCTCGTGAGTTCGGGGGGAGTTCGAGCCGAGCGTCTCATTCCAGTTTGCAACATCAGAGAGCGCACGCGCGAGAGAGAGAGAGAGAGATGGGGGAAGAAGAGAGGAGCGAGAAGGCAGGAGGAGGCCCTGTGTTCGGAGACATAAGGCGTTACTACTGCGAGCACTGCGGGATCTGGAGGTCCAAGAAGCCCCTCATCGCTTCTCACATCCAATCCCACCACAAGGTCCCTTCTCCTTCCCCTTTCTTACTCAGTTCTCTTCGCTTCGGTTGCCTTCCCGATGCTTCCTATGCAGCTCCGTTCGTTTTGGGCTGCGAGTCCTGATGCTACGATGCGATTATTATTAGTTCGATCAACAATTGCTGGTTTTGCGTTGCGGAACTGATCTGAACTGGTTTTCGTGTTGCTTTGGGTCCTCATCAGGAGGAGATGGAAGCGGCAATGGCTCGAGGGGTCGAGGGGAAGGAGGGAGCCAAGGCTAATACCTGCGAAGAATGCGGCGCCACGTTTAAGAAGCCCGCCTACTTGAAGCAGCATATGCAGGGCCATTCGCTCGAGGTATGTCGAGCGCTCTCTGTTTGTCTCACCGGAGTTCGTTTGTTGTTCTTGAGAGTGCGACGTGAAAGCAAGTACCTTGAAAATTTCAGTCGAGTTTCCATTAGATTGCACCTGTCATTGAGGTGGTCGACAGTGAGGTACAGTTTGTGGAGTGGAGAGGTTCTGATCACAGTCGCACCGGTCTTGTTGAGGAGATGGTTTTGATGTACAATGCTCGGTTATGGTCTTTGCTTTCAAACTCTTCACATTTATAATTTATAATGAGGTGTCGGAAGCAGCAATTCGGATATTATCGTTGGGGATGTGCATGATTTTCTGGGCTGTGGAATGATGATTACCTACAAATATAGTGCCGTGAACTTGTGGAGCATCATCACATTGAAGCACTTACGAGAAAGCATCGATCTTTTATTGCGATCTGGTTTCACAGATAGATTTCTAGGATAGAAAAAGTTTTACTTTTGGTTGAAAAATGAAGCTGTTTTGTTCTTTTCCATTTGTCCACTGCGAGTTTACCTATACTGAAATCAAGACCTTGCAGGATAAAGTATGTTGGCTCATCTGATTATGATATGGTAATGGCGTGAAGCATTGGATCCCACAGTAAAGAACTCCAAAATGCAAGAGGCTGCATTCTTGTTTCTTGATTGGACTAGTATCAGGTTGGGGGACCACCTGAGAAGATCCATCAAGTCAGCCTTGGTCACGCATGTTCTATTTTGAGGTTTGAAGCATCGTTCGGTTTGTTCTATTGATATCTAGAGATTTGGTATGCTCTGTATCTATGTGTCAACATGCTAAATTTATTTGCAGAGGCCTTTCAAGTGTTCTATGGAGGATTGCCCTGCCAGCTATAGGAGAAAAGACCATTTGGCTCGTCACTTTCTTCAGCATAAAGGCAAGATCTTCAGCTGTCCTGTCGATGGTTGCAATAAGTCATTTGCATATCAAGGGAACATGAAGAGGCACATGAATGATATTCATAGTGATGAGCTACCATCGACGTTTGGTGAATTTAAGAGTCCGAAGCAGAGTGTTTGTCCGGAGGTTGGGTGTGGAAAGGTTTTCAAGTTTGCATCAAAGTTGCGAAAGCATGAGGATTCTCATGGTAAGTCACTTAATTTCAAAGTGTGTTGGTGAAGCCGAATGATATCTATGAGGTGTTTAGTGTGCTAATTGATAATAACGTCATTTCAACTGCTGCAGTCAAACTGGAGACCGTGGAGGCTTTCTGTTGTGAGTGCATGAAATACTTCAGCAATGTTGACTATCTGAAGGAGCACGTGCAGTCGGCTCACCAATTTGTCAATTGCGACATATGCGGGACTAAGCAGTTGAGGAAGAATTTCCAACGGCATCTCGGCACGCATGAGAAGAAAAATTCGGCTGATTCAGAAGCATTCAGATGTGATGTCGAGGGTTGTCTCCGCATCTTTTCAACAGTAAGATGCAATCACCTATAAAGTAGATTCTGGCTGTGCATGGATTATAATTGTTTAGAACTTTGAAGCTCGAGTTCTTTTATCTTGTGGCTGCTGAGTGTACATCATCTGATGTTTTTTCTTGTTGACAGAAATCAAATTTACATCAGCATGTGAAGGCTGTTCATCTTGAGGTGAGGCCATTTGTTTGCAGCTACAAGGATTGTGGCAAGAAGTTTGCATATAAGCACGTGAGAGACCATCATGAGAAAACTGGTTGCCATGTTTACACTCCAGTGAGCCCTATTCTCTCATTCTCTTGAATATTGAAATTCAATTTTACTGCTGTTGAAATCCAGCTTTTTACTACATGAGAGTTGGATGATCCTCATACCTAGCAATTTGGCTCCTTGGGTTCAGGGTGATTTCGAGGAGTCAGATGAGCAATTTCGATCCAGGCCCAGAGGCGGGAGAAAGAGGAAATGTCCGACGATCGAGTCCCTACTGCTAAAAAGAGTTACTCTACCCAACGAGCTAGATTTCCTTTCAGATTAGTGGCTGAAGTCTCTTGGCAGCGCTCGGCAGCAGCTGAGGATTATAATGTATAGGAGCTGTGGTTTTTTTGCCGCATAGGCCGAGCAAAGGTGAAAAATTCACTCATCATCCATCATCCTCCTGTCACTTGTTTGTAGTTAATAGTTGATAGAGTTTGCTATTGTTTTGTCTATAAAGATAAGAGAGCGAGTTAATCCTTAGCAAAAGATTCTTTTGTTGAGCCATTGTCAGCTGTACATCATGCAATATACAGTAAAATTCAACTGAGAATCCACTGTTCTCATACTGATCTGTCTCTGGTATATATATCGTTGAACAGTTCAAAAGTTATGGTCGGTATTTTTCTCTTTTTGAGATTCTTGAAGGCTTGGAAGTCGGATTTCTACTATCTTAATTGGTAATACTTAAAAGAAAATTGATAATGGTCTATAAAAATCATTTTTCTTAAGTACATAAAATTTCCTACTGTCTATTTAAATGTCAGGCCAAATCCGAAGAAAAATCATGTGCACATTACTAGGGGATAAAAATGACGTCACTAAATGTCCCAAAAAAAATCACGGAGTGGGAAGAAGGTGACCATCATTATCTTTTCTATGTAAATTAGGAGTCAGTGGTTCTAGGTTCCGTACAAATTTCAACCTGGAACCCACCCATGGAACATGGTCATCATTTTTTTGGAACCTGGAACCTATCTTATATATTTTGGAACTTGAACAAATCTTGTCACAGGATCTAGGGTCGGTTTCAGGGTCTACACAGGTTCCATATGTATTATCACTACTTTTAATGATTACCATTTGTTAAGATTTACTGATCATAAATTATATTTATATACACGAAAAATATGAAACATTAACAAGTCATAAAATGAAAGCTATGCTATGAACGACGCGAGATCACGTGAAGACATAGATCAGGAAAAAACATAAAAAATTTCTTTAGGATTTCAGGTTCTACCTATTTGGAATTTACTAGTCGAAACCTGTATACCTTGAAACCTGTAATTGGAACCTTGCTCACCCCTAAACCTTTAATTGGAACTTTGTTCACCCCTAATGTAAACTATTCTGTGTGGCGGATGATGTGGCAAACGGTGCTTAAGTGGTGCACTGACATGGCGTTTTAATTAATTCTAAAATTTTAAAAAATTAACGAATTAAGAACTAAACGATGTTGGCCAAAAAAATATTGGAAAGTAAAACGGAGTTCCAAGGGACGAAAAAACTGAAAAATGCCAATGTAAATACTGAAACAGGTTGAATAACAGAATAGAGTCGTCTTCCTCAGATCATCGCCTGAGATCGTCCCTTGAAGAGTTGTTCATGAGCGTGACCATCGTGACTACTGCAATGAGCCCAGCGATGGTTGCCGCCTCGAATCTGGTCCGGATCGAGGTTGGACGACCCCAACCACTGGACCAGATCGGGTACCATGGCTGCGGCCATGGATGCCTGCGACCTCTTCGTACAGAGCTTGAATGGATGTGAGCTTTGTCCCAGAGGGCTTTGCAGCCACCACGAGATTATTGGCGAGGATTCATTGCATTCATGAGCGTCGCCGATGGTGTTCCGTATTTTGTTTCACAAAACACAAAGCTCGTCCAGAAACATAATCCTTTTTGAAGCCTAGAAAACAAGAGAAAATTGCAAAGTGGCTATCACGAACAATGCCCTGTAAAGTAGCACAAAAGGAAAATGCCATTGAAGCCTCTGTACTCTTGTTTGAAATTCAGGGTGCATTTGTTTTATAAAAAATTCAAGATTTGAAAAATATTTTTTGAAAAATGATTGGTTATGTCTTTTAGAAAAGTTAATTAATGGAAAATATTTTCGTGATTGACAAAAATTTATGCCTAACTATTTTAGTGGGTGATGGAAATGTTTTCATTTATTCATTCATTTTTGTAAGGGATATAAGAAATTATTTCTCGGAATATGTATTCATAATTTTGAGTTTTTCATGCAACAAATGGACCATTTTTTGCTCTCCGAGCTTGCGACTACCACTTCAAGAGGAAACTCGCCATGTTGAGACATGGGAAGGGCTGCCGTTTTCTTGTTTCTTGATCATGATGAATCGTTTAATAGTCACGAAGAAGTATTTCCGTTTGGCTCATACATAACAATGTTCCTTTCAATAGAAAATTCATAATACCACTCACGAAAATTTTAAATAATGAAGGTAAATTCGCGCTCCCTATTCGTAATGTATATTGACAATATTTTGGAACAATATTTATCACTTATAACCGTAAATATTCTAGTTATATATTTACTACTCAAAACTAAATCACGGCATGATAAATGGTGTTCTATTATTGGGTTTGTGGATAGTAAGATTGTTATTTCATTGATTACTTACAAACAATTATGCACCCACTTGTAAAATAACAAATTAAGCGTTAGTCTACTATCGGATTTGTGGCTGATAAAGTTTTTATTTCTTTAGCAACATTTACTTACGTGTCCATTTGTGAAATCTAAAAATATGGGGAAATATACCGATTGGGTTTGTCAATAGTAAAAATGTTATTTTATCGCTAATTACAAACGGCTAATCGGATTAACAAGCTATTGATCACTATTAACTTATTATTGGTATTTTGAATTTATTATCGACATTACGTAATTACTGTCCATAGAAGAAATTCCGTTTTATTCGTACATGAAATTTTTATATATGACAATTTTGCATTCTCTAGTCAAGTCAACTGAAAAGCATGTACTTTTGTCGTTATGCCTGATTGCAGTAAATTGCCGAGTTCAATGTTTTTCCTCTCCATAATTGTCTATTGTAGGAAAGTTCTTCAAGCTTGAATAAAATGAAGATTCTTCAACCGTGAACCCGCCACCAAACTGGACCAACGGTCTTCCCAGCTTTTCTAAGAAGGTGCATGGAAATTTAGGGTTTGAAAATTTCAATCCCGAAAGGTTTTCGAATTCCTGCTTAGTTCAAGGGCTTGAAGTTGGACCTGGTTCACTTCATCATTGGTCTGACTAGCGTGTAGTGCCGATTTCAAGTCAACGGTCATTTTGTATGAAAAATACGGTCTGCTAATTTCGGTTGGCTGCAATAATATTCTTCTTAAGTTATCTGGAAATGTCAAATCCTGGCGTTAATATGATGCTCTTCGTCTGTCATGGACTAGTTCCATGTGGTGGCACAAGATCTAACTGCAATGAAGATGTAAGTTTTAACAATTCAAATCCAATTACAAGTAGCGGCCGAAGTGATATCTAGAAATGAAACGGGGCATATCACAAATTTCATTGGTTTGATAAGATTCCTCCAATTATGTTTCTGAAGGTTGGTTAGTTCTTGGGATGATAATATGTGTAAGCCGCAAAAGGCCTTAATGATGGTAAAAACAAAGAGAATGAAAGCATCAGTAGCCGGACCAAGGGTTGCCAAAGTACTCGCGCTCGATCCCCGTCCATTTCACGTGCCATTTGTTCCGGTGGTATCTAGCCACTTGCCCGAATTACTCGGTCAAGTAGCTCGAGCCAATATCGAACCTGACATCCTTAGGGAGATCATTGAAGAATCTCGCAACCCCATGAGGTTCGCGTTAGTGGACACGAGCTTGGAACAGTAATAGTAGCAGTGTGCTGCTGCTCGAAATCCCAACAAATTGCTTATATATTTCAAAGGCGGCTCAGGAGTTTAACTCTGAATCATGAGACAGGAAATCAGAGAAACTGTTATTCAATAAATGGGAGCGAAATGTGTATCTGTTTCTCTAGAAGGGGACTTGTACCGTAGAAAGCAGGGAATGGTACACAAGGGGACGAGATGCTCTTTGTTTTTTCTGTCTTGGCTTTTCTTCATCAACAGTCGAGAGCCACCGAAGGCCAACACTGGTTCAACCAAGTGAATTGATGAACTTGCATTCGCAAGTCAAGTCAACTTTGGATTGTCGCGCATGGGGACCAAAAAATTTATGATACCCTGTGATAAGATTTAGACCAAACACAGCTCCGTTGAAATTCTTGCACAAGGCAGTTCTGGTTCATCTGCCTTCTAATAAGAACACAAATCCTCCCTTATGTATTTGCTAAAAAACTCTGCAATATAGTATCGAAGTTGCATTCAAATATAAGTAAATCATTTAATTTCTTTTCTTGAATCTACTTATTTAATGGACAAAATAGGACATCATAGATGCATTTTGGTGGTAAGGTCAAAAGTTGGGGTATCTATACTATTTACTTTTAATCGATCTCTACATCCTTAATGTGATGTATAAAGAGAAAACTGATTCACATAATAATTATAACCAACTATGATCTCAAAACCATAAACTTGTTTTTGTATAATGAATCTCCCCACTATTGTGTGAGTGACCCAAAAGTACCCATTTATCATTGCCCTATATCCATCAAAAACCCTAAACTTTGTCTAGTGTGACACTAATGCTTTGTCAAATTCTTTTTTTTTTGTGTGCTAACAATACTCCAAACTCGCACCAGTCGAATTGTCAATGGCCTTATCCATATCCCTTGTGTAGTGTAAGGCCTGGCTTTACACGGTGCTTTGTTAAACAGAGACTTTGGAAGAAAGTTACACCACTCATATGCAAGTTGGATGCTCCAATTTGAGGAGTGTTTAAATATATTTACGGATATTATAGAATTCCCTATTACAGTATCGATACACCTTGATTGTGACTCATTATAAAGTTGAAATATTGAGCTAAAATATGAGTGGCACTTTTTCCACTTCGAGTTTGGTTAAAACACTCCCTAATAAAGTGTTATGACCATTTCACTTATTGTAGGTCCCACCTTTCAGCATCTTAATTGTTCTCTTGGTATCTCTTTTTTGGTTTTCTTTTGCGGGTCTCATGTTCCTTCGTCTTCGTCCTTTTCTTTTTCTCTCGGCAATTATCTTTCTCTCTCTTGCGGCTCCCACTTCCGCACTTTTTGTATAAAAATAATTGGAAATAAAAAAAAAACACCTAAATGAAACTGCGTAAAAATACTAGCAATTGATTTTTTTAGATAAGGAAAGTGGAATCCGCAAAAGAAGAAAACGTAAAAAAGACACTAAGAGAAAATGATGCTGAAAGGTGAGATCCACAATAGGTAAAATGGTCAAACACTTTGGCTCCGTTTATTTGGCGGAAAATATTCTCTTTTTGGAAAATATTTTCCCGGAAGTCATTTTCCTGAAAAATATTTTCCTTGAACACAATTTTCTAGCGTTCGTCTAAAATCTGAAAAAGTCTCGGAAAATATTTTATGGTGTTCGGCGACCGCCGATCCGGCGGTGTCCGGCGACCGGCGGCGTCCAGCGACCGGCGGCGGTGACCGGCAGCAGCAACCGGTGGTGGCGATCGGTCGGCGGC